ATATAGGAACAAAACGATGAAAAATGAAATAATGACATGAATTTTTGAGAGGAGTATGAAAACGAGAATGTACGAAAAAGGTATTTGGGCATGACTGTAATGAATCAGCTTCAAGCATCGAGTAGTATGCAGTTTATCAATAATATACTGCTGAGTAAAATAGTAGGCAATCATAGAAATATTTTACGTATGTATGACGTTTCATATCTCATTCAAAACGAAAGCTCAACAAAAATAGATTGTATAACACAGATAATTCAATAGCAAAAGTGTAGAATTACCGCCTACAATATCAATGCTTCTAGGATGAACATTTTGGACTTAAATACAAACTTACATTATACGTTAGCTTGTTGTTACACCCGATTTGGTACCGTGCAAATCAAACCAATACACAGCTAGACAAAATGACTTCTTTTTTTATTTTTAGCACTGAAAAGTGATGATGTTAACGATTGTCTTTTTTAGTAATAAGACTATATTCCTCGGTCATTTGATAACACATCGAATTAGAAGAAATCCTTAAGACCAACTTCAAAAGCTGCTTCTGAATTAAGAAACTTTAGTAAATATGCTCAATGCAACACATAGGGTGTCATTTCGATTGCCGGATCAAGGACTTATGAAATTTACAAAGAACATTCTGTTGATACCGTGTTTCTCAATTTTGCCGGAATTTGATGCCTGATTTCTATTCACAAATACTGATGAGAACATTCTACAAAAGCCATCAAAATATGGACTGCGCCCAAGAAACAAGCCACTAGAATTAATGTTATGATACCTAAGTATAATTACTATAGAAAGAGTAGCATCCTACAGGTGGACCTACAAGTATATCTGTAAACTGGTGGAATAATGGCTTCACCAATTTTGGATCAACAATATCATGAACCAGAAGCCATCCCATCCCGGTGATGTTCTATCAACATATTTAACATGCCCTAACTATTCATTCATGGCGGTAATTGTCTATCACTTCTCCGATCTGTCTCTAGATGTGTACATACCTATAGGTTCTATATTGTTCTCTATCATTATCTGGAAAGTACTCATATTTATAGTAATTTCAAATATTATTGTTGAGTCTGTTTTGTAAATACACTTATCAAGTTAAACTGAACAAAAGGATATAAAGAACCGACCACGGCACTACTAGCTGTTATATGCTTTCACAGTTTCATTGAATGGAAGTGATAGTAAAATGAGCTGAAAATATCAATTCCTGATTGACGATAACTACCACAGAACAGGTTTTCCGGTCGCTCAATATTTGATTACTATCTTGTTGATACTTGGAACTTTTCTCGTTTTTATCTAGCATGAATCATTCAAGAGATATTTGTTTATAAATATTCCCATTCTGGAATGCAATAAACGGTTCCTAATTACTCAATATCCGTTTCAGTTTCTGATACATATCGAAACTCGAGTCGAAATTGATGTCTCTCTTTAAATTCTTCAAGATTGGCTTCGTCGGTGTTGTTCTATATGTTGGTCAAGCTTTAAACCATTGGCAAGATAATCTGTCTAATGATACAAGCTAAATCAGTTATAGGTGGTATTTTTCATTGTATTTTCCTTTTCTTCGTATTGCATGTTTAAACCGAGATTTGATGTCTCGTGAAAAATGTGATTAACACATCTGAGATTTTTGGTAAGTGATTTCTGTCGAAACAGGAGGCAAGCCATAGAGGCTGAGGTTGATGAGTGGAAACCACAGAAAAGTTCGATTGAGAACTTGATAAGATATAAATAGAAAACATAGAAATACCATATACAATACAGAGTGTTCAAATGAGAAAACAAAACATGCAAGACTTCAAAAATATTGACAGCATGCCAGAGGTCGGTTAGACAATATAACCAAATTATTTATATATTAAGTCGCTATATGGGCGGATGTATCTGTGTTTACAATCTATAGAGCTGGAAGCGCGGCTGCAGGTCTACACACATGGTATTTAATGTAAGCTTTACAACAAAGTACTGGCCGCTGCTTTATGCCTTTTTTTAAATATACACTCTAAGTTTATTTCTTCTGTCTTCTGAGGTGAAGTATAAATTACATTTACCCATCATGCGAAATACTGCAATGCTCATCCACTAAAAGTTTATGGCGGAAGACTGGATGTTGGTGAAAATGCCGCTTTTGGACACTCTTACACTTTGGACAGGGAAGGATCTATTGAGCTTTCGAAATCCATGAGTTTTCAACATTCGAATTTTTTGAGATTAATGTGAATATTTTTTGAGGAATATTAAAACCTAGACAATGTTCAGCAGTCCTGAAACTGATATACACGTATAAGTACCAATTCACCACCCCAAAGCATTATTATTCTTTTGTGTATGCACCAAGGCACTTATTCCGACTTGGCGACACGCTTCTTAGCACCCCTGACGTTTTTTGCAACTGCTCGTATGCAAAACATCCTAGCACGCGACCAGGACGGAAAATCAACCCTTTAAGAGTCCTTCCGACATGCTTTGTGCCCGCCAGGAATTTGTATAATATCCACGTGCAGGAGCGCTAGGCGTGTAAAAAATTTGCATCAGGATGCCATGTATGGCCATCCGTTTATGCTCATATAATGGTAATCTGCTACAATATGGAAACAGATCGAACTGAAGGTAAGATGGTTGCTTACTTGAAGATAATTTAACTTCAGTATCAGTTTTTAGTCGTAGGTTTGGTAACTCTTTATTTCACTTAGCCTGCCAGGAATATATAACGGGTGACTCATCTAAAGGTAATTTTTCAAAAACATGTAAAAATAAAAACAATCATCATTGTGTGGTTTTTTTTGTTACCGAAGAAAAGAAGTATTCTTTGCATTCAGTTCTTGAATATTTTTGTCAATTGTCAACTGCAATTCTGGTCAATTTGGTACAATGTGCAATTCCAACGTTCCGTGAGGCACCCAAGCATTTCGGGTGGTATTTGGAGACCATTAGAGCGCTATGATATCACACTATCAGTTGCTTGAAATTTAGTTTCAACAAGACTGCGTAGAGAGAAATTCGTGCTCAACTGCAACAGCAATTAGTTTTGTACAAATAAATTCCGTTTAGGTTATGTAATGTCACACCTCCAGACTATTAGTGGGTTGTTTCTGCTTTTTATATTTCTGGAAAAGTACTTCTAAATGAAAATTACAAACTAATGGGAGTCATATAAGAATGTGATCAGCTTGGTGAGTTTGTTGTTAGGTAGCATTTATGTCGAAATGGGTCATCGTCGGGTTCAAATCAACTTTTGTAATATATATTCCAGACAAGAAATTTAGAAATACCACCATCGTTAAACCGAGTTACTAGATATAGTAATACTAATAACGAAATCGGAATCCTGCTCCTAACTGCTGGCAAGCTGAATATTGTGAAAATCGATGCAGGAAAATTTCGCTGATCAGTCCATGAGTGATGAGCGAAGTAAAACTCAGTACTCCGCGCTCGACTAAACGTATACACTATAACCTTTGATATGGCATGTAGTGTTAGGGTATGAAGCACATTGCTGATAAAAATACAATTCTGACTGACAGTGAAATATGGAAACAAAACACAAACCCAGTATAACTGATAACTTTGTTCTGTCCGACACATAAGACTTACAGATTTTCCAAGAATTGTCTACTATTAGAAGAGACCTCCTCCAAAATATACGAACACATATCAATATTGAATGAAAATATTGCCAACCTAATGCAGCATAAGTCAGAGAAACGCAAATATAAAGCTGTCGCTAATTAAAAATTGCTGCTTGTATCACATACGCTGCTTGAATCAAAGGTTCGTTGATGTTGAGAAGTTTAGAAGACAGTCATAGTACTACAATTAGAAGACTGGACTATGTTTATATGTGACACAGTCAACGGCATTAAGGATGAACGAATAACATGTGAGTCCGCTGATCCTCAAGTCAGATCGAAAGTGTGAACTTAGCAACACGCTTTTGTGGAGAAGGAATCCAAAACATTACATTTTGGTTGATAGGAGATACTCTATGAGACAAGCTCTATAAATGGTTTAAGCAGAGAGCAACTTTTTCAAAACCATATAAACCACCACGAGTATGCTGTTGTACATGAGAAAGTCATACCATTTGGTTGAAGACATGTGCATCGTTGGTAAAGTAAATATTGCCGGGAACACCAAGTAGCAAATACTAAAGTCCTCCAATAATTTGAATGAGATGAGATGAGAAAGTTAGTAAAGTGAATGTCAACTCTTACGGTAACGACACTGCTGATCAAACAAGATTTGATTTTCAAGAAACTAAAATGGGTATTCGCATCATAGTGACAAAAGCCTAAGTAACCAGAGTCATTCTCCAAGTGTTTTCTAACGGTAACGAGTGTCCAATAAGATCAACACTAAAAGAAACAATTCGAGACAAAATACAAGCATGGTTGAGTTTTATACTTATACCAGAAGAAAGTTTAACTCAGGACATATACCAACCAAGAAGTATGGGTGAAAAATCCAAACAGATGAGTGCTATACCTTGCCGTATAGTTAGTTTTGCAAATGGAGTCTTGTAGGGATAGCGACTGACTGAAAGTCACAAAATTCACTTGTATGCAAAGTCCCAGAGATATAGGTACTTTACATAGAGAGTAGGTAGTTGAATCTGCATGAAGGAAAGGATTTGGCAGATGAGCTGGTCATGTGTAAGTCTATGGATGAATATCGAATTCAAATCGAAGAAGAATCAGGTAACAGGTGTGTCAGTTCATGTCGTTTACTACGAAAATGATGCTAAATTGATTACGCATTACACATAATCCACTCGTACCTATGCGTTATGCGATAGCCATAATGACCGTAGAAGAACACTGAAAATGGAAGCAACTTACGTATTTTTAAGCGCTTGTAGGTAAGGTACGCGACTCGTTCAGTAGGTACCGCGACTTTTTTAGAAGGAACCGGTAGTTGTGGAGCCGACATGCAGAAGACCTTGCACGTCTTCAGGAGGAGAACACAAAATTACATACCTGTAAGCATTCCTGTGATGGCAAAATTTGTAAATCCTCAAAACACCTGAGTCACTAAAACACTAGTCACTAATTACACAAAAACAGCTGAACGACGAAAAAAATCCAAGTCGATGTAGATCAATAAGCACTAGTACCACACTCGTAGTATCCGTATACTAAACAACAGTTGCACGGTTATATGTCCATCAATAGAGCTTGCTGAGAGGTGTGAGGAAACAATTAAAAATCGTGCAGTAATATCTTTAGCGGACGGGCCGTCGTAGCCCTGCCGTGTTCGAGCGTAGACTGTTTTGTGCATAATGTTGACAACCAATGAGGGGCGGGACCTAAGGAGGGGATAAACGCCCCCACTACGGCATACCTGCCCGCCAGCGCGCGGTAGTGGGGATAGGACAGCTAGTTGAACGGACTCGAAGGAAGTTTCGAGCCGATTCGCGCGTTGTTCGGCGCGCGACGACTTTTTTGTCTTTTTTTCTTTCAACACCACCACCGATTGAGGAGGCTCTCTCCTCTCTGCTCTCCTCTGGTGTTATGGATTTTTTAGTTTTGCTAGTCTACAGTCTGGGACAATTAGAAAATACTTGCTATTCGTATGTGATGTAAGCAGTGCAGTGGAATTCGGTGGTGATGGTCGATGCCGAGGGATCAGGAGCAGTTCATCAGTGTGATAGAAGGTTCTTTTCTGCAGTGATTGCCAATCGGTTTTCTGTCGCAACTGAAGCTACGTTATCAATATCCATGAATTGTGGCTTGTTTCGAACAATGATGAGTTGAACCGCTCAACGGATATCTTATACCGGAACCGCACGCAAATCGGCACAAACGCAAACGTGCAGATAGAGCGTTTTGCTTGGTTTGCGTACCGTTGCAAGCGCTTGTAGCCGATCCGATCAGCTATCGGTTGTTTGGTCGCAAATCAAAAGGAGTTTGCCACAAGCATTAATTTGTGACACATCCATACGTTTGAGCGCCTCAGTCTCGCTTATGCACTGGTGGCGAATGGGTGTAAGCTTTGCAACAATAATCTGGGTCCAGTTGGATAACAACAAAATGAATGACTGGTTGAACAAAGATAACAAAAAAAAGCTGGCGTATGGAGTCGCCTTAGCGCATCATTTAGTAAATCACTATTTAGTTAATGCCTATTAAATTAAAAACAAATGTTACTACTCATAATGTCAGCGCCTTAAATTTTGGATGTGATAGGTACTATTTTTGGAACTAAATATCAATTTCATTAAAACAAGTACCTGGTACAATTCATATGAATATTTAACATCCACCACCTTCTTGGTCGTACTTTTCGTTTTATCTGACTGTTTTTTTTTTGTTTTATAATAAAAATAGCTTAAGCCAAATGCTACGGCAGACACAAGTTCGACGTCCGTCATGTTTGCCTGTTGCCTTTTCACTGACGCACCCGCAAACGTGTGGACGGCCACGTTTGCTTCTTCAAAAAAAAGGCAAGCGTTTGTAGTGGTTTGGAGTTTGCGCCAAATGGCAAGCGTGCGGTTTCGGCATTAGAAGTTTCTTTGCCAAACAAACGGTGCAGACCACTTCTTCTAACAATCCAAGTTAAACAAATGTTTAGGTTGCTACTAATGAAGATCGTCGCCTGTCCCCTGACTTAGTTTGAAGACTTAGATAACACTAGGCCTTTAATTTTAACACATTACCTCTGAAGGACGTTTTTGCATTAAGCAGTATATGGAAAAAAACGCTAGAATGTGGGTTTTGTAGACTTGAAGGCATACAATTGCGTGCCTATTCGGCTGTTGTAAAAAGCAATGGGTGGCAATAATGTTCCTAAACCGTACATGGATGCAGTACAAATAATATAACATCACAACATCAGCTATGTTAAGACGAAGTAGGGCGTATGTATTTTCATGTTTTTTGTTCTACATAGGCCTTCGTCAGGGTTGCTGCTTATCTCCAACACGTTTCAAAATATATTTGAACTCGGCTATGAAGCAGTGGTCTAAAAATGTAGCCATTATATTTGGAGGTTAGAAGTTAACCATGAAAAGACTAAATATATTTAGCAATAGGATCTAATGCTCAAGACCTACAAACGGCTATCGAAACAATAAAGAAAACAACAGAATTTAAATACCTAAAAATTACATTCTGTCTTGTGGGCGAGACAGAAATCAGACGAAACAAAAATAAGACTTTAAATCGCTAGTTGAAAGTTACGGGGCAGATATTTGGTCACTAAAAGAAGATATGAAAAGGGGGATAAGTACCGTGGAGATGGTTTTTTGGAGAAGTTGTCAAGACAGAGATGTATCGCGTACACGATGCGATAAATGGTCAGAAAGGCTGTAATTAAATCGTTGTGTATATACTTCTGAAGGATCGAAAATCAAATTATTAGGTTGTAACATATTTCTGGTTATATAGTAAAGATACAAGAAATGTATATAGACACGGCAAAGGGTTAATAAATAAATTATTATACAAGTTTAAATACATCGTAGAACAAATAATTAGTGACAATTGGTATACTCATATTTTGACAGACAAAAAGTACAAACTCGCAGATAATAGACAAAAATCTAAAAAAGCTCGTATTACAAAAAGCAAAGATTAAAAGCACTCGCGATAGACAAGAAAAATAAAAAGCGTTTCTGTCATCTTCAATAAATTCTGCACAGGTGTTGGTAGATTTTAGATGGCCTACAACCGTTTTTTTAACACTGCATTGTTTCGCCTGAATTAGGTGGTATCTTATAATACATTTTTATGCAGTTCTATAAGGGGGAACAATTAAATTTAAAAGTGTTAGGTGGCGAAATTTGCAGAAGATCATGATGTATTGTACAAAATGGGACTTAAACTGCTCCCACTGTAGTTTTACATGCATGACCCAATGAAGTAAGTAAACATAGGTTGTATTTTTTTCAACACTGCATTGTTTCACCTGAATTAGGTGGTATCTTATAATACATTTTTATGCAGTTCTATAAGGGGGAACAATTAAATTTAAAAGTGTTAGGTGGCGAAATTTGCAGAAGATCATGATGTATTGTACAAAATGAGACTTAAACTGCTCCCACTGTAGTTTTACATGCATGACCAAATGAAGTAAGTAAACATAGGGCACCGCTAATAAACCGTTACAAAAAGATGGGCTTACTGCACCCACGGGCTTCAAATTGAACATAAGCCTTATGAGTCGCTCAGCTAAGAATGTTGAAGGAAAATATGTGGGTATGCTAAAGTTATAGTACATCGATTTTAGACCATCTTTGTCGATACAATTTTTTACCTGACATGGTAGGCGCTGTTTAGCTTGCTGCTATATGATCGACCTGTTAGTCTATGTTAGAGATGAATTTAAGCAGCATCCAAGATATTTTACCTCTGCAAGCCTATGTAGTTAATAATGGATCAAAATGTATATTACCTCTCTGGTGATATGTGACCCGGGTTTTGAACTGATCAATATTGGCATATTTCTGCAACACCAGGCATTCATCGCAGCTACAACTTGACTTTTGGTTGTAATTGTTCCACTGAATTAGACAATATTGTTGTAGCTGTACCATCAGCATATTATACAGATGAACTCAGCTATCTAAAATGCTGACAGGGAGATCATTAATGCAGCTCAAAAACAATATAGGTCCTAAAATTAATCCTTGAGGAACAACACCAAGTTCTACATTATACCTATTCGAGGAGACCCCACCACAAGAAACTTATTTTTCTTTTTGTCAAAAAAGATTTTAGCCATAGCACTATATTAGGAGGAAATTTGAGGGCCTCTATTTTATTTACGAAATAAGCGGGGTCAACCGTATAAAAGGCTTTTGTTAAGTTGGAGAAGAGTGTTAATATCTTCTTATTTGAATCTTATTATTCATGAACAAAGTTCTGCATATTAAAGGAAGCAGATTCAGTTGATTTATGAAATCTGAAGCCTTTTGGTTGTTTACCGACTCTCGCCCGGTTATGGTAGGGTAGGATAGATCTAGCTCGCGGAATTGCAGGCTGGCGAGAAGACAAAGTAGGAAGTAAAAGCTGTGGAAAACGAAGCACTTCACATGACTCCTTGACATACGTTTTGCTACATTATTTTGAAAATATGTTCCATATGTTCTACGCTTACCGGTAGATTAAACACGCTGCTATCGCCTGTCCGACCACAGACGGCTAGCCGTGGACAGCTGTTTTGTGCTTTTTAACAACTCACCAGCACGGACTAGACTTGGATTCTGATAGAACAACGAGCGAAAGCATAACAACTGATCTCTATGTGAGGAATAAGTTCTATCGAAGTGAGACAACGCAAAGCGCCATCCATAACCAGAATCGACCGCTTCTAGTGTGGACAGCAGCACTTTATTGGAACTGTAAAAATTCTGAGTTCGCGTTTGATAGGCCACTCGCCACTGTGACCGCTGGGTACTGACGATTCTGGCGGCATTAGTAGACGTGATCTACTCGCCATTGAACCTGCGAATTGTCGAATGTATCGAGAATGATACGCGACGGAGCAATTGCATCCATACGGTAGTGATGATAGAATTAGCAACACTTCGACCCTTCAGTCCCTAGTGGATGTACACTGTACTAGTGCGGCGGATCCTTAAGTTTAAGAAACTACCCATCCTTGGATTATAAATCCATAAGAACATTTGCAAAGTGTCGATTCTATAGTAGATCTACTCGTTATTAAGTGTATCTGAAGCAACAAAAGCATGAAGGTTGCGATTCAGCTCAAACCTTAAATCTTGACCTTAGCAAGCCGGCGCAATCGAGCGAAACTCATTTTGGCTATCCAGTTTTATTGAAAAGCTATGCTGGAATATAAGTACTGACGAATTCCATCCGTTAACCTTATTCATCATCAGAATGGTTCCGGTTCGGATAACGTCCAAGACACGTAGAGATGCATTTGAAATACGCTACTGCATCATTTATCTGATTCTAGGAAATTACCCTGTTGCCCTGTTACTTGATTCTAATCCTCTCCTGCCATTGACAATAATTAGAAATATAAATGGAATGTTACAGGTTAGTACCACGTCGGAACTTCTTTGTTATTGCATAGCTTATTATTGCCAAGGCAATAAAGAAATTTGAAGCACCTGGATGATTATCTTCATTTGCTACGATTGTATGGCGCATCCTTTGGTGCCATCTGCGTAGCAGTGGTTGTATATGGTGTATACCTATATTGTATGGAAAATACTTCTTGTTTTGAGGAGCTGCAGAAGAAAGCAGCTGAATGAAAATTCTAGCGGTTACATGCAGCGTTGTCTTGTTGTCT